TGCAACCTCTGCCTCCCAGGTTCAAGCAATTCTCCTGCCTCGGCCTCCCATGTAGCTGGGACTACAGGCACGTGCTACCACGCCTGGCTAATAGTATTTTTAGTAGACGGGGTTTTGCCGTGTTGGCCAAGCTGGTCTTGAACTCCTGACCTCAGGTGATCCGCCTGCCTCGGCCACCCGGGTTACAGGTGTGAGCCACCATGCCTGGCCCCCAGTTCTGTACTATGACAACCCATCTACCATTTTCCCCACTCGTGTATTAATCTTGAAGCCTGCATGGATGAGAAGTAGATAATAGGATAAATGAATGATTCCTCTTTTAGATCATATACAGATAGAGATAAATAAGGGCCTTCAGTACCTCAGCCAAGGGAGTATGCCAAATGGTAGTCTCAGACCTGGCTGGGAAGGGATAGGTTGAACAGGAAAGAGGTGAAGAAGGCTTTCTTGTCCTAAAATTACTTCACATGGATAGCTCTGAAGAGAATTACTAATTAACCAGATCTTATATTTCAGAAACACCCCCTTGAAGATATATTTTTATCCAAATTAATGGAGCAGGGGAGGCCTTTTTGAAACTTTACTTTGAGACCCTAGAATTTAGTTATAATACGGCAGACCTTTTTTCTGGGAGGAAAGTGCAAGAACCTGTCTGAGGACACCTAAATTGCCTTCGCTTTCCCTCAGATGAGATATCTGTTTCATATAGCAGTTGTCCTGGTAGCTTCAGTTTCACCTGCCCTGCTTTTGTCAGGAGTCATGTTTTCCGCTATCACCATGGTCCCCACTGTTTCAGCTCCCTGAGAATATATAATGATTTTCTATCTGCATTTAATTCTCCTAGCAGAGGCACATAGAGTAAGAGTCATTTATTTCAGCTCTCTGTCCTTACAGATCCAATTTAGTAAACATCTAATAAGTAATTATTAATGTAAAGAACTTCAGCGGAAGCTGTAGAGCACGGAGAAAAAGAATAGCATCCCCATCTCCCTACTGGAGTCCATAGTTTATTGAAGAAGACAGAAACATGGAGGTATTTCTAAAGCAGATATTCTTAATCTTGGCTACACATCAGGATCACCTGGGGAACTTTGAAACATCCAACACACAGGCTGCACTCCAGAGCAATTAAATTAAAATCCCTCAAGCTGGGACCCAGGCATCAATATGTTTTAAAGCTCCCTGGGAGACTCCAAAGTACTGTATGGCTAAGCTAGAGCAAAACAAATGGAAAATGCTGCAGTAAAGGACTAACAAGATGCTGTGTGAAGAAGGGTACCACAACCATTCTGGATATGCTAATGTTCTTACCCACTGTCTGACCGCATTTCTGCCCATGAATGCAGAAAATATAACCTCTCATTGTAACCAGAGGAAAAATTTAGGTCAGTTTGATTGTAGGGCATTTAGAAACTATATACTCTGAGAGGCATGGTCTGAAGGAAACTATGTTTCTGAGGGGAAAAGGGCTCCAAAAAAGATCAATCCAGAAAAATGACCCCAAAATTAAATCCACATGCTCTGTCTCTCCCCTGGAATGTTTTATTCACTTGTCTTCCTGAAGAAGTCCTATTCATCCTCTAAGCTCCCAGCTCAAACTTCACCTCTTCTGTGAAGCCTTTCCTTTTCTTCCCCTTACCCAGGCAAAACTGGGTCCCTATTTCTATCTTACTTAGCTCCTTGTACATAGTTCTGTTCTTAGCAGTTAATTGTAATTATTATCAAATTGAGTTATAATTTGGCACACTGCTTGTTTTATGGGCCCTACGTATCTTTCTTCTCTTTCTACCTAGCCCAGTTTCTCGGTTTGTTGAATGAATATTCAGAACGGCAGCAATTTTAGGTGCAGTGAGAACTCATGCCACCAGCAGAGGAAACCTAGACTCAGAAATTCCTCGGGCTCCCTCGTCCTGTTTCTGAGCATCGGGATCCTCTGCTTCCCAGTGGTTGGGCTGGGGAAATGGGCAGACATACTCATGGGTGTAAAGTAGCTGCAGCAAATGATGAATGGGCCCCCCGCCCCCAGGCTTTAGTTAAAGCGGTGAGCTTGAGTTTCATTTACAGAGTTTTGTTGTTAGAGGAAGAAAGAAACAGAAGGAAGGTCACAGGTTTTCAAGTGTGTGCATTAAGGAAAAGTGCCTGTAGACTCCTGTTTTATTCAGGCCACAGGCATCCCAGAAAAGTTAGAACGGTGTTCTGTCTGGGGAAATTGTTTGTCTGTTTTAGTTTATTTTTAAACTTTAAATCTTAAAAGATTTTTTTTTTTAAGTTTCATAGGTTTTACACATATGAAGGCGAAAAGATGATTACAATCTTATATATATAAGGGTCATGCAGTCCAGATTTTCTAGGACAATGCTAATTTTAGATCTTATGTCCTGACTTTTTTTTTTGAAGATGGCCTCTCACCCCATTGCCCAGCCTGGAGTGCAATGGTGCGATCCTGGCTCACTGCAACCTCCATCTCCTGGGTTCAAGCGATTCTCCTGCCTCAGCCTCCTGAGTAGCTGGGACTACAGGTGCCTGCCACCACACCTGGCTAATTTTTTGTATTTTTAGTAGAGATGGGGTTTCACGTGTTAGCCAGGTTGGTCTCGATCTTCTGACCTTGTGATCCGCCAACCTCAGCCTCCCAAAGTGCTGGGATTACAGACGAGAGCCACCGCGCCTGGCCTTAATTTCTTATAGGGAAAGTATGGTTGCTGTTCTTACCATTGGCTATCATTTTCCCAGCATGCTTAAAGATCTTTTAGTGATCAGAATGTTTAATTATTTTGGCTTTCTGTGTGGCAAAAACACTTTTTTTTTTTTTTTTTTTTGAGACGGAGTCTCGCTTTGTCGCCCAGGCTGGAGTGCAGTGGCGCAATCTCAGCTCACTGCAATCTCCGCCTCCCGGGTTCACGCCATTGCAAAAACACATTTTAAAAAAAATTTTTTTAATTTTAATTATCTTACTTAAGCTTGCTTAGGTAAGGTTGCCTCATGGACAAAAAAGCCTAAAGATAACAGAACAGCATTGAGTATATTGCCTGGAGCACCAGACTTGTATTGAATGTGGCTTTTTGGTGAAGATGATATGCAGTAACACTTCTTTCTCTACCACAAATTAGTACAAAAATCCTTCAAAGGAAAAACAAGGGCCGGGTGCAGTTGCTACACCAGTAATCCCAGCACCTTGGGAGGCCGAGGCGGGCGAATCACTTAAAGTCAGAAGTTCAAGACCAGCCCGGCCAACATGGGGAAACCCGGTCTCTACTAAAAATACAAAAATTAGCCGGGCATGGTGGCGCACACCTGTAGTCCCAATTACTTGAGAGGCTGAGACACAAGAATCTCTCGAACCTGGGAGGTGGAGGTTGCATTGAGCAGAGATTGTGCCACTGCACACCAGCCCAGGGGACAGAGTGAGACTCTGTCTCAAAAAAAAAAAAAAGAAAAAGAAAAAAAAAAAGAAAAAATTAGTCATTAAGAACTGTCTCAAAAAAAAAAAAAAAGAAAAAATTAGTCATTAAGAATCGTTATTTCATTATGAACTATTATTTAATCCTGACTGTCACTTGAGAAATGTTTCTTTGTGAGGTGCAGACACAGGAGCCCACCAAGAAAGAAACTAGTGACCACTAGAAAAGCCTGTTGCTGGAGCCACATCCCCTGTGCCACAGGCCAGATGGAATCTCAGCAAAATGGTGGCTGTAACCCCACATGGGCTTTTACTTTTAGTGGGCACATTCTGGAAAATATTAATGTTTATCCTTATCTCTTATGTTAATCACCATAATTGTTATGGTTATTATGGATTACATTGCTACTGTTTCTCTTTTCGTTTCCTGGATTCAGACCAAATTGAACCTTTAAAATCTGTGAGCAAAATCACTTCATTTTTAATTGAATGGCCCACAACTAGTTAATCTTTTTTGCCTGTTTAAAAAGTGTGACTTTTTTTCTCACTGAATAATACAAAAAGTATAAAATAAAGGCTAAACTTTAAAATATTCTTTTATATCTAAGAACTATAAGTTTTTTAAGCTTTTAAAAAGTGCTTAGTAATTTTAAGTTACTTTATTTTTTTTGAGATATCGTCTTGCTATGTTGCCCAGGCTGGATTCAAACTTCTGGGCCCAAGTGATCCTCCTGCCTCAGCCTTCTGAGTAGCTGGGACTATAGGTATTCACCACTATGCTTAGCTAACAGTTACATTTTTTGTTGTTGTTGTTTTTAATCACCTGACTGCCATAAGGTCTCCCGTAACCTGGTTCCATTTCTTAGAGGACATCTTGTATGTTCTTCAGTCAATATTTTATGAAACAACAACAACAGAATAGCATCAAAATATATGTCACTGGTAGGTGGCAAGCTATTAGTGCATGAACTGTGTCTTCTGGAAAAAGCAACCTATTTTCACATGTCATTAAATTAGGAGCTATTTCTGGCTCATGTAGCAGGGTTGATTGTTCCATGTGTTACCATGATCCTTCTATGATGGAAAATCTACACTAAGTAAGGACAGTACCCTTCCCAGTAGCTAGCCAGTCTCTATTCACAGACTGCTGTTAGCTACTTCCATAGTCAAAATCGTGTTTTCATCTGCCCAAGCTTTCCTCTCTTGCAACCTCATGACAATTAGGAACTTCTCACATACTTGCCCAGAATGCCAGCAGATCTTCAGTTGGTGGTAACACCCTTAGCATGAGCCAGATTTGAGATCTCTAATCCTCTGTGATCCCTGATGAGTGCAGGGAAAAGGATATGTGTAGGAGTGGGGCTTGGTATTATGACTAAGGCTCAAGAGAAGGTGAGGCCAGAGAGAGCCTGAGCTGGGATCTGCTGAAACAGCTCCTAAAATGAAAACAAAATGGGGGCCAGGCTTTTTCTGGATAGTAGTTATGTTTTCCTGCCAATGCACAAGTCCTACTCATAGACAAATGACAACCAATCTAAATGTCAAATAAGATCATTCGCCTTCATAATCATAACCAACCTGTATGACACCTTTTTAACAGGAGGCCTCATTCTTCTTTTCCCCATCCAGAATTAAGAGGAAAAAAGTGAATATGGTTTTTGCTCACAGAATGGATAACAGCAAGCCACAGTTGATTATTCCTACACTTCTGGTACCGCTCCAAAACCGCAGCTGCACTGCAGCAGCCACACCTCTGCCAAGCCAGTACCTGATGGAATTAGGTGAGGAGCACAGCTGGATGAGCAACCAAACACATCTGCACTATGGACTGAAACCCGGGGAAGTAGCCACAGCCAGCATCTTCTTTGGGACTCTGTGGTTGTTTTCTATCTTCGGCAATTCCCTGGTTTGTTTGGTCATCCACAGGAGTAGGAGGACTCAGTCTACCACCAACTACTTTGTGGTCTCCATGGCATGTGCTGACCTTCTCATCAGCGTTGCCAGCACGCCTTTCGTCCTGCTCCAGTTCACCACTGGAAGGTGGACGCTTGGTAGTGCAATGTGCAAGGTTGTGCGATATTTTCAGTATCTCACTCCAGGTGTCCAGATCTATGTTCTCCTCTCCATCTGCATAGACCGGTTCTACACCGTCGTCTATCCTCTGAGCTTCAAGGTGTCCAGAGAAAAAGCCAAGAAAATGATCGCAGCATCGTGGATCTTTGATGCAGCCTTTGTGACCCCTGTGCTCTTTTTCTATGGCTCCAACTGGGACAGTCATTGTAACTATTTCCTCCCTTCCTCTTGGGAAGGCACTGCCTATACTGTCATCCACTTCTTGGTGGGCTTTGTGATTCCATCTGCCCTCATAATTTTATTTTACCAAAAGGTCATAAAATATATTTGGAGAATAGGCACAGATGGCCGAACAGTGAGGAGGACAATGAACATTGTCCCTCGGACAAAAGTGAAAACCATCAAGATGTTCCTCATTTTAAATCTGTTGTTTTTGCTCTCCTGGCTGCCTTTTCATGTAGCTCAGCTATGGCACCCACATGAACAAGACTATAAGAAAAGTTCCCTTGTTTTCACAGCTATCACATGGATATCCTTTAGTTCTTCAGCCTCTAAACCTACTCTGTATTCAATTTATAATGCCAATTTTCGGAGGGGGATGAAAGAGACTTTTTGCATGTCCTCTATGAAATGTTACCGAAGCAATGCCTATACTATCACAACGAGTTCAAGGATGGCCAAAAAAAACTATGTTGGCATTTCAGAAATCCCTTCCATGGCCAAAACTATTACCAAAGACTCAATCTATGACTCATTTGACAGAGAAGCCAAGGAAAAAAAGCTTGCTTGGCCCATTAACTCAAATCCACCAAATACTTTTGTCTAATTTCTCATTCTTTCAATTGTTATGCACCAGAGATTAAAAAGCTTTAATTATAAAAACAGAAGCTATTTACATATTTGTTTTCCCTCAACTTTCCAAGGGAAATGTTTTATTTCGTAAAATGCATTCATTTGTTTATTGTAGTTTTTGTGGGTTTTATTTTACTTGCTTTTTATGTTTTAGGGAAAGCATTCACTTTGAGCTACAGCCAACAGTCCTTTTACTATTAACATATTAGTTACATGCATAAAAAAGAAAATGCTTTCTTAACACTTATTTACTGTTGGTTCAAAAACATAAACCTAAGCCATACACACAGTCTTTGATTAATGATTGAATCTAGTTTTATTTTGTTTTGTTTTTCTCCTCCTTACTGAAGTTTTATAACTATGGGCTTCAGTTCCAAATGAAATTCCCATGTCACCTATCTCAGAGATTTATATTTCTTTCACTAAGCAACATTTATGATGAGTTAATATTGTATAGGTTGTCACGTTACCTTCCTCCAAGTAACCACGAGCCAGATCTGCTATGGAAAGCATGTCATATATTGGAACTTGCTGGGAAGTCTTCTGTGGTTGGATTTTAATCAGGATTCTTAGGAGGGGAAAGCATAGAGTGGCCTAATTTCTCTTGCTCTTTCTCTTGTTTTTATCTTTCCTTAATCTAAGCGGCTGATAAAGCCTTGAAAAATGCAAAGTCAATGCAATGTTTTCCTGACATCTGTGTCCCATCTAGGCTGTGTCTAGGACATTTCCCTCCCATTTTTGAGTTATATACAAGTAAATGCGCAGGTGCTGTTGCTAGCATATCTAAAAAATGCCAAAGACAGACGTGACAGATGGCATTTCTCTGTACAGGCTCTGCAATTCAAGCCGAGACTTTCAGCTGCCCAGCCCTACCCCTATACACCAGGACAGCAAGGGCAAGGACTGCCTTCCTCGTTCTCCTAGAAACTCGAGGCCATTTCTCTAGCCAGAGCCTGGTCTCCCTCATCTCCCTCCAGGGCACAGCACCATACCCTGCCGAGCTCAAACTCTTCTTTGCCTGTGATAACTAGGGAATGTGTTTCCTCTGCTTCCCGGGTCTCTATTATTTCAAATCGAGGACCAGCCAGCACATTTAAAAAATGTTTTTATTTAAACAATAAAGGGTTTAGAGACAAGACTGGTATGCATTTTCACGCCCTAGTTAACAAGAGCTGCAAATAATAACTCCAGTTGTTCAGCAATTTTACATGCATTATCTCCTTTATCCTCTCAACAATTCTGTGATATATTTATTATCATTCCCTTTTATAGATGAGCAAACTGGAACTCAAAAGTTATGTGACCTGCCCAAGTTGGAATGTGACAGAGCTGGTATTCAAACTCGGGCCTCTAACCGCATGTCTGTCTGTCGCTCTTTCCTTGACATTTCGGATGTCTCCCTAGAGAACACGAGGGGCCAAACCCATCTAGGCCTTGAAGGGCTTCCTGACCACTGCCTTGGTAGAAGTCAAAGGTCTAAGAGAATTTGGCTGTTCTTTTTTCTTTTTTTAATTTTTTTTTTTTTTTTTTTTTTTTTTGAGACGGAGTCTCACTCTGTTGTCCAGGCTGGAGTGCAGTGGTGTGATCTTGGCTCACTGCAACCTCTGTCTCCCAAGTTCAAGTGATTCTCCCGCCTCAGCCTCCCAAGTAGCTGGGATTACAGGCACCTGCCACCACACCCAGCTATTTTTTGTATTTTTAATAGAGACAGGGTTTCACTATGTTGGCAGGCTAGTCTCAAACTCCTGACCTTAGGAGATCTGCCTGCCTCGGCTTCCCAAAGTGCTGGGATTACAGGCCTGAGCCACCGCACCTGGCCTCTTTTTTATTTTCAATTTTTAAAAAATCAGCTGAATTTAAGATTCATTGGTGATTCTTAAAAAGGGTCTAGTTGAAATGTAATGAGCCGGCCCTCACCTGTTCCTTGGCTGTAGCTAGGTTCTTGGACTTGTGCTGTGGAATGTTTGCGATGAGGGAAACCTGTACCTTCCTACCTCCCGGACACAAGGGAATGGGACACGATTACGTTTTGATGTTTGGGACAAAGAATAACAAAACATTTAATCTACAAAACATGTACAGAGCTGATGTTTTTAGGTTGAGAGGCTTTGTTCAGTCACAAATTCCAAAGATAGAAATAATATATCACGGCCAGGCGCCATGGCTCAAGCCTGTAATCCCAGCACTTTGGGAGGCCGAGGCAGGCGGATCACAAGGTCAGGAGATCGAGACCATCCTGGCTAACATGGTGAAACCCCGTCTCTACTAAGAAATACAAAAAACTAGCCAGGCGAGTTGGCGGGCGCCTATAGTCCCAGCTACTCGGGAGGCTGAGGCAGGAGAATGGCGTAAACCCGGGAGGCGGAGCTTGCAGTGAGCTGAGATCCAGCCACTGGACTCCAGCCTGGGTGACAGAGCGAGACTCCATCTCAAAAAAAAAAAAAAAGAAAGAAATAATATATCATATTTTTCTTTCTCCCTTTTCCCCTCCTCCTCACATTCTTATCCCATCATCAAATGGCTCTAAAACAACAAAATGTGCCAGATATTTACCTCACTTAGCCCTTGAATTTCATGGTTCAGACTTGTTAAAATATAGGAGACCCCTGCCGTAGTTGTGCTGTTTGTCTTTTTACGTGAAATATTATGTTTTAGAGTTACAGTGTGAAAAATTTAATTTGTTTCCATTTTATTTTTATATATTTGTAGGTCTCAGTTTAAATGGAAAAGAATGACACTAGGTGATTTCTAAGCTCTGTTGTATCTGATGTTCTGGGAGTTTACTACAGTAGATGGATGTTCAGTGAGACAATGTCATACAAGCTCTTTTGTAAAGAGTTTGTTTGTTTTTTTTTTTCTATTTAAAACAGAGTCTCGTTCCATTACCCAGGCTGGAGTGCAGTGGCACAATCTCAGCTCACTGCAACCTCCATCTCCCAGGTTCACGCGATTCTCGTGCCTCAGTCTCCCAAGCAGCTGGAACTACAGCCACTACACCCGGCTAATTTTTGTATTTTTCGTAGAGACAGCATTTTCCCATGTTGGCCAGGCTGGTCTCGAACTCCTGGCCTCAAGTGATCCACCCGCCTCAGCATCCCAAAGTGCTGGCATTACAAGCATGAGCCACCGTCCTGGCCAGAAGGTATTTTTTAATCCCCCAAATAATGACAAATTAAGAGTATTAAGTCACATTCAAGAGAGCCCCAAAGTCGCATGACCTGTATTAATTCAGCTACATTCTCTCAGGGTGTTGGTAATTCACTGTATTTTCGTTTAGCTTAATACTCAGCATTCCTGGTGTCTCTCTTGATCCTGAATTTGGAGGAGGCTTCACATAATGCACAGATTGATAAAAATTTGCTTAAGTCCCGCAACACAAGGACAGCCTTCACTACACCTCACATTTACTCCACAAGAATTAGAATTAAGCCACAGGGAGACGATGAGGTGCACCACAGACCCAGATTCATGTGGCCTCCAAACAGGAGTCCATGCAAGGCAACAGTGGGAAGCAGGCTCCAGAGTAGAGGCAGTTCTCCTACCTGGCTCCAGGGTCTCATAAACTGTGGGTGGGGAGGGAAGGGACAGGGAATGCATCCTTTGAGTGGAATGTGAATTCTCTCTTCTTCTCATCTTCATTGAATACATTAACGTCCAGCCTGCTGCTGAGTCAACAAGCACATCCTGCCCAGATGCACTTGCCTGTGAGCCTTTCTTCACAGGATTAGCCCCCATGCCCGGAGCTGATACCCTGGGCCAGACTTCTCCCTCAGAAACGACAATTTTATCCTCGGTGGAGGCCCATCTCCACCAAGCGTGTGGGGAGTGGAGTCGTTTGCCAGAGACTGCTGGCAATTTCACCTCTCCCCGTGAGCACAAACCCTCTTCCGCCCTTCCATCCTTGCTGCCATTTGCACAAGCTCGCTTTGAAGCCACATAACCTAGGTCAGCTGGGAAGACCTGATCAGGATCCGCTTCCAGGTTGTGCTCCTCTAAAAACCATATGTAAAAGAAGCAAGGGATTAGACACTTTTAGAGCAGAAGGGACGTTGGGAGACCTAACCCAAGTCCTTTATTAGTTAGAAGCGGAAATTGAGACCAAGAGAGGTGAAGTTAGGGCTAACCTACAATGTCTCCTACCCACCAGTTCAACTTTCTTTCAACTTTGCCGTTTGGCTTGCTGTGGCATGATTTATTTATTTATTTATTTATTTATTTATTTATTTATTTATCTATCTATTATTTGAGACGGAGTCTCACTCTGTCACCCAGGCTGGAGTGCAGTGGGTGCAATCTTGGCTCACTGCAACCACCACCTCCTGGGTTCAAGCAATTCTTCTGCCTCAGCCTCCCAAGCAGCTGGGACTACAGGCGTGCGTCACCACGCCCAGCTAATTTTTGTATTTTTAATAGAGATGGGGTTTCACCATATTGGCCAGGCTGGTCTCGAATTCCTGACCTCGTGATCCACACTCCTTGGCCTCCCAAAGTCCTGGGATTACAGGCGTCAGCCACCACGCCCGGCCGGATTCATTTATTTTTTAATACATTAGTTTTATTTATTCCTCAGCACTTTGGGAGGCCAGCGAGGCAGATCGCTTGAGCCCAGGAGTTTCAGACCAGCCTGGGCAACATAGTGAGACCCCTCATCTCTGTGATTAGCCGGGTGTGGTGTGCGTGCCTGTAGTCCCAGCTACCCAGGAGGCTGAGGTTGCAGCTGAGATCTGCCACTGCACTCATCTTGGCTCACTGCAACCTCCACCTACCAGGTTCAAGCGATTCTCCTGCCTCAGCCTCCTGAGCAGCTGGGTTAACAGGCCCCGTGCCACCATGCCCTGCAAATTTTTTTGTATTTTTAGTAGAGATGGGATTTCACCATGTTGGCCAGGCTGGATGTATTCAATTTTTAAAATCCGAACTGTGTGCAGGAGAGTATGAAAGGAATACATAAGCCTTCACTGTTCATTTAACCTGCTAATTCATCTGTGAAAATGATGACCTTAGAGTGCCGTAATTAGAGAACATTGGAAATAAACCGACTTCCTCTAACAGTTTTCCAGAATGACCGCTTGATGGCACTGTGACTTGTGGGCAGAACCCACTACCTCTTCACA